AAAGTCAGCATATTAGAATGATTTCTGAAGGAAATTAAATATAAGGCGATAGTTTTGAACACTGGATGGTTATGTACTTGCTCAAATATTGCTTTCGGATAATTTTTAACCAAAAAAAGCAGCTTTGCAGCTTTAACTTTTGTTTAGATTTACAAAATTTAGATTCATGCTAGTATTATACTAGACAAAGCTAGAATATAGGCCTTAATCATGTTGAATAATGAATTACAGTAAATGTAAACTCAGATTCAGTTTCAGATCAAGTGTTTTTTTACAGTGTTGGCCTGTAGATTCAGTATCACGCCGTCATGAGTCAGTAGAGGAAGTTAGCTCAGTGTGTTTTGGGACTGGGCCTCTCTGGTTCCTCTTCTCAGAGCTGATTTTGATTAGTAATGTGCATTACTAAGGACTTAATTTGGACAACTTTAAAATTCTCAATATTTTGATTTTTTTGGCACCCTCAGATTCCAGATTTTGAAGTAGTTGTATCTCAGCAAAATCCTATCCTAACAAACCATACATTAATGGAAAGCTTATTTATTGAGAAAAATTGACCCTTATGACTGGTTTTGTGGTCCAGGGTCACATATTATATTTGATGAAGTGCAGTGAAATGGTTTTCCCTAGTTCGCACAGTGCACATCTGTTTCCAACATTAATAAAAAGTCAGCATATTAGAATGATTTCTGAAGGAAATTAAATATACACTAACTCCACCCACCAACGTGTGATTGGGCTAGTCAACACTACAAAAGACTATTATCAAACAACAGCTCCAGTGGTGTAGGTGGTCAAGTGCGTGCCGTGGTCCTTTTGACACAATCGACCTGAGTTCGAATCCACCTTTTGCCGAACTTTATCACTTAGGAAAGGCATTTATTTACAATAAAAATGAAGTAAATAATCGAAAAGTTAAAAATAAAGTATCGGGTAGGGTTAGGGTAGGCATAGGGAGGAATTTATTGTCCCAATAAGGTGGCATCCATTTAATAATTTTGAATTAAAATGATAATTTACACTCAATACTTATTGCATACTGTTTTATAATGTACAATACTGAGATACAGTTAATTGCCACTATTTGCAATAAGTAGAATAAATAGCAGAAAATCCTGTTATTTTAAAGGGGTCATATGATGCTGCTAAAAAGAATATTATACTAGACAAAGCTAGAATATAGGCCTTAATCATGTTGAATAATGAATTACAGTAAATGTAAACTCAGATTCAGTTTCAGATCAAGTGTTTTTTTACAGTGTTGGCCTGTAGATTCAGTATCACGCCGTCATGAGTCAGTAGAGGAAGTTAGCTCAGTGTGTTTTGGGACTGGGCCTCTCTGGTTCCTCTTCTCAGAGCTGAATAAAATATGAACTGTCATTTTTCATGCGCCTGTGGTGTGTGTATTATATGTATGGTGTGCCTTTGTTTAAACATATGCAAGTGTGTAAATTCAAGTTTTATAACTGCCAGTCAAGTTGATTAGCACACAACACTTTTTCTTTTTTATCGCATGTTTTGATGGCAATATAATCAGTGTTTTTTTTTTCTGACAACAGTGCAATTTGTTTATTAATTATTTGCTATTATTTATAATTTCACAATGATATTACTCAAAATAAATAAAATAATGAAAAAACAATGATGAATAAAAATATGATGGAATTATTTATTTATTTATTTTCTTATTTATATTTATTTATTTAATTATTTAGTTATATACTGAAATAAAAAGGTATAATTATATGATAAAATTTTAAATAAAGCATTTTCAATTGACCAGTGATTAGCCATTTGTTTAATTAATGTTTAAAAGGACTTACATTTCTATGAATAAATAAACAAGAAATATGACTTTTATCAGTTTGAAAGGTTGATTTATATACATTTTCATATATATTTTATAGACATTGTATATACATTTCATTTTATTCATATATTATTATGTATTAACATAGATTTTTTTCATCACATTCTTGTTTTAAGTAGCATTCCAAGTTATTTAATATATGACCCCTTTAACATAGTGTAAATAGAATCTATAGCTATTTGCACTTAGTGTAAATGGCATATATCGCTAAGAAACTATGCTATTTTCACTTAGTGTTTTTAATAAAAATCATTAAAAATCTTTGAAAAACTGATCCTAAACTCGTGAACGGTAGGGTATATGTCATTTTTATTTTGCCTTTTGATATTTATTTGTAAATTTATATGTAATGTCATTTTTTTTAAAAATATTTTTCTGTACTTTTATATCTTTGTATGTGCCATAAAATTGCAAACTGTGGCCATGTTACATGAGTAAGCAGAAAAATGGACCAGGCTTTTTGCATACAGGCAAAACACTTGTTCTGCTAGACTAGCCATGTAGTGATAGTCAGACAATGAGTTAGTATTTAGCTCATTTAGCTTAACTCTCTCCCACACACATTTATCTGCATTCCTCTGCACCACAAATCATATGCATCCACTATGCTTCACTGCCCATAACATATCCGATTGATTTTGCTTGTTTTAAAGGTATAGTTCACCCAAAAATGAAAATGTTGTCATCATTTACTCACCCTCATGCCGTTCCAAACCTGTATACGTTTCTTTCTTATGCTGAACACAAAAGAAAATATTTTGAACAATTTTGAAGAACCAAACAGTTGTTGGTCCCCATTGACTTTCATAGTATGGAAAAAAAAAAATTCTAAATATATTTAAAATATAAATTAAAATATTTAAAATATAAATAAACTTATAAAGGGTTGAACAGAATTTTCATTTTTGGGTGAACTATCCCTTTTATGTCAATATTTTTTAACTGATACTCGTCATACTTTCAGCTCCAG